GCGCCCCCCATCCGTGCGCCTTCTGCAACCCGCGCCGGGAGGGAGGGCGGCAGGCGCGCGCGCAGCCACGGGCGCGTTGCCCCCGATCGATCCTCCTCCTCCTCCTCCCCCTTCTCCTCCTCCTCCTCCTCCTCCTCCTCGTCTCTCGTCCCCTCCTCCCTCTCTCCTCCTCCCTCCCTCCTCCTCCCCCTCTCCTCCTCCTCCTCCTCCTCTCCTCCTCTCTCTCCTCCTCCTCCTCCTTCTCCTGCTGGGCTCTGGGATCTGGTGGCGGTAGGGTCGTTCAGACGCAGCCATCCTTCTTCTCCTCCTCCTCCTCCTCCTCTCTCCTCCTCCTGCTGGGATCTGGGATCTGGTGGCGGTAGGGTCGTTCAGACGCAGCCATCCTCTCCTTCTCCTCCTCCTCCTCCTCCTCTCCTCCTCCTTCTCCTTCTCCTTCTCCTCCTCCTCCTCCTCCTCCTCCTCCTCCTCCTCCCTCCTCCTCCTCCTCCTCATCATCATCATCATCATCATCATCATCATCATCATCATCATCATCATCATCATCATCATCATCATCATCATCATCATCCCCCTTCTCCTCCTCCTCCTCCTCCTTCTCCTGCTGGGGTCTTGGATCTGGGATCTGGTGGCGGTAGGGTCGTTCAGACGCAGCCATCTTCTTCTTCACCTCCTCCTCCTCCTCCTCCACGCTTTTCTCCTCCTCCTGCTGGTATCTGGGATCTGGTGACAGTAGGGTCTGTCAGACGCAGCCATCCTCGCCTTCTCCTCCTCCTCCTCCTCCACCTCCTCCTCCTTCTCCTCCTGCTTGGATATGGGATCTGGTGACAGTAGGGTCTGTCAGACGCAGCCATCCTCTCCTGGTTATCCTTCTCCTCCTCCTCCTCCTCCTCCTCCTCCTCCTTCACCTACACCTCCTCCTCCTCATGCTGGGATCTTGGATCTGGTGGAGGTAGGGTCTGTCAGACGCAGCCATCCTCTCCTCCTCCTCCTCCTCCTCCTTCTCCTGCTGGGATCTGGGATCTGGTGACGGTAGGGCCGTTCAGACGCAGCCATCCTCTCCTTCTCTTCCTCTTCCTCCTCTTCGTCCTCCTCCTCCTCCTCCTCCTCTCCCTCCTCCTCCTCCCTCCTCCTCCTCCCCTCCTCCTCCTCCTCCTCCTCCTGCTCCTCCTCCTCCTCCTCCCTCCTCCTCCTCCTCCTCCTCCTCCTCCTCATCCCCCTCCTCCTCCTCCTCCTCCTCCTCCTCCTTTTACCCCCTCCTGCTGGTATCTGGGATCTGGTGGCAGTAGGGTCTGTCAGGCGCAGCCATCCTCTCCTCCTCCTCCTCCTCCTCCTCCTCCTCCTCCTCCTGCTGGGATCTGGGATCTGGTGGAGGTAGGGTCTGTCAGACGCAGCCATCCTCCTTCTCCTCCTCCTCCACCTCCTCATCCTCCTGCTCCTCCTCCGCCTCCTCCTGTCGGGATCTGGGATCTGGTGGCGGTAGGGTCTGTCAGACGCAGCCATCCTCTCCTGGTTATCCTTCTCCTCCTCCTCCTCCTCCTCCTCCTTCTCCACCTCCTTCTCCTCCTGCTGCTGAGATCTGGGATCTGGTGGCTGTAGGGTCTGTCAGACGCAGCCATCCTCTCCTCCTCCTCCTCCTCCTCCTCCGCCTCCTCCTTCGTCCTCCACCTCCTCCGTCTCATCCTGCTGGGATCTGGGATTTGGTGGCGGTAGGGTCGTTCAGACGCAGCCATCCTCTCCTCTTTCTCCTCCTCCTCCTCCTCCTCCTCCTCCTCCTGCACCTCCTCGTCATCCTCCTGCTTCTGGGATCTGGGATCTGGTGGCGGTAGGGTCGTTCAGACCCAGCCATCCTTTCCTCCTCCTCCTCCTCCTGCTCCTCCTCCTCCTCCACCTCCTCCACGTCCTCCTCCTCCTGCTGGGATCTGGGATCTAGTGGCGGTAGGGTCGTTCAGACGCAGTCATCCTCTCCTCTTCCTCTTCCTCCTCCTTCTCCTTCACCTCCTCCTCCTCCTCCTGCTGGGATCTGGGATCTGGTGGCGGTAGGGTATCTCAGATGCATGCATCCTCTCCTTCTTTTCCTCCTCCTCCTCCTCCTCCTCCTCCTCCACCTCCTTCTCCTGCTGGGATCTGGGATCTGGTGGCGGTAGGGCCGTTCAGACGCAGCCATTCTCTCCTCCTGCTCCTCCTCCTGCTCCTCCACCTCCTCCTGCTGGGATGTGTGATATGGTGGCGGTAGGGTCTGTCAGACGCAGCCATCCTCTCCTCCTCCTCCTCCTCCTCCTCCTCCTCCTCCTCTTCCTGCTTCTCCTCCAGAGCTTTTTCCCCGCTAGCTGATCGACACTTCCTGGCAAGCAAGCAAGCGAAAGCCGAGCATCGAGACGAACGCGTGGGCAGTCAAGGGTGCAGATCTGGCAGCCTGACGAAGAGATGGGAACAAAAACGCACCAAGGGGAAGAGGAGGCATGAGGGGTGAAGCATACACGAACATATATGCATGTATCCAGGCATGCCCAGGCGTGTTGCGACACATCTTGCACCGAGGATGCCCGCTGTCGTCGTGGTCGTCGTCGTCGTCGTCGTTTGGGTAGCTGCCGTTCTCGTCGGGCTCTCCCTGGCCACTGCAAACCCCCGCCTGGAGGCGGCAGGCCGGCGGCGGCCAGGAGCCCCGGCCCACCCGTGAGGGGGGTCGGTTCCTCCTCCCCCCCTCCTCCTCCTCCTCCTCCTCCCTCCTCCTCCTCCTCCTCCTCCTACCTCCTCCTCCCCTCCTCCCGCCTCCTCCTCCTTCCTCTCCCTCCTCCTCCTCCATGCCTCCTCCTCCCTCCTCCTCTCCTCTCCTCCTCCCCTCCTCCTCCTCCCTCCTCCTCCTCTCCTCCTCTCCTCCTCCTCCTCCCTCCTCCTCCTCCTCCTCCTCCTCCTCCTCATCCTCCTCCTCCTCCTCCTCCTCCCTCCTCCTTCCTCCTTCCTCCTCCTCCTCCTCCTTCCCCTCCTCCTCCTCCTCCCTCCTCCTCCTCCTCCTTCTCTCTCCTCCTCCTCATCCTCCTCCTCCTCCTCCTCCTCCTCCTCCTCCTCCCTCCTGCGCCTCCTCCTCCTCCTCCTCCTCCTCCTCCTCGCTCCTCCTCCTCCTCCTCCTCCTCCTCCTCCTCCTCCTCCTCCTCCTCCTCTCCTCCTCCTCCTCCTCCTCCTCCTCCTCCTCCTCCTCCTCCTCCTCCTCCTCCTGACATCCGCGCCGATGTCATTCATGGGCTTGCGCCGCACTAGCGACCCCGCGTGGGGCGCTGCGGCTTCTGGGGGACTTCCTGGGGGGTTCCTGGGGCCTCCCGCTGGTTATCTGTGGGCCTGCTGGCGGCCTCGGGGTCTCTTCGGCGTGGAGGGTCCGGAATGTCAGGTCGAGTTGCTTCTCTTGCCGGAGGAATCCAAGCGAATCCTGAGGCACATGCGTTTTTTTTCCCAAGCCGGTCAACATCTCTCGACCGCTTCCCCGGGGGTAGTTTTACTCCTCCCCGGTTTGTTTTTGATGGTTCCGGAAGTCGCCGTTTGAACCAATTTGATCGTCGGATGTTTGGGCACTGGGAAAACACAGTTCTCCTGCTCACTCTCCCTTCCAGGGCTGAAGCTACACGGTGGTTTGGCAATCTCGTGGACCGGTTTCGGCCCAAGACGGCCCAAGATGGCCCAGGCTGGCCCAAGATGGCTTCAAGACGGCCCAACAGGCCCCCGAGGCAACCCGCGCCCGGAGGCATTCTGGCTCAAGGGCAATTTTGCATCGAGCTTTTCGAAGCCTGACACTTTTCACATCTTGAACCCGCACTTCTGGACTTCTTCCGATGCCGTTCTTCCGCGGTGCTCTCTTCGCGCTGCTGGCCCTCGGTTGCCGCGCTTTGGAGGCGAAGGACAAGACCATGCTCGGAATCGACTGCACCACATTGGGCAAGAGCGATTGCGATTCAACAGCAGGGTGCGTGTGGCCAGCGGGTCACACCGGGTGCTTGACGCTTCCTGCCACTGCGCCGACCTTGACACCGCCGTGAGCCGTCTGAGCGAGGCGTTTCGCGTCTGCGGTCGGCGTGAGATACTAGTTCTGTTCTGGCGATACATAAAAATGAGGCCTCCCCAAAGACTGCCCGAGAGGGCCACCAGAGGACCCCAGCAGGGCCCGAAGAACCCAACTCCGTGCAATGCCAACGTGTAAGGCCAACGTGCAGTGCCAAATGTTTAGGAAGCGTGTTCGCGCATTCATCTTTTCGGGTTTCCTTCAGCTCGGGCCTCCACGATGGCCCCGAGGCGGCCCAAGAGGCCGTAGCATGCCCCAATACATGGAGAGCCGCTGGGCGGCCGAGCCTGCCCAGAGGATGGCCCCACGACGGACGCGAGAGAGCCCCCCAGGCGGCCAGGAGGGCCCCAGGACGGCCCAGAGCACCAAGGACGACCCAAGATGGGCCCCAAGGGGGCCCAGCATGCTCCGGGGGGGGGTCTCCAAGACTTGCCCACGGGAGCTCAAGAGAGGACGCAGCACAGGGAGGCAAACGACGGACATCGGAAGGGAACCCCGTGGCCGACACGAGGCGTCGCTCTCTGAGGCGCCTCCTGCGCGCCCCCTCCGAGCAGTCGCCACCCGAGGTGCTGGGCTGGCACAGTGCACGAGTCTGGGCTCCTCGGGCCCCGCCGGGGTGCTCTCGTGGCCCTCTCGGGCTGCCTCGGGGGCCTCGTGGGCCGTCTCGGGGCCATCCTGGGCCGTCTTGGGGCCCTGGTGGGCCGTCTTGGAGGCACCTCGGGCCAGCCTGGCAGCCCTGGTGGCTCGCCACGGCCGTCTTGAAAGGCGAGGTATTGCAGCATTGGGAGCGCGCGCCCACTGTTTTGCACAGGGGATCGCGGCCTCGAGAGCGCAGATCCGTATTTTTGGTTTGCCATGGGATCGTGGCCTCCATAGGTGCGCGGAGTTTGCTTTTTCAGGGGATCTGTTTTTTGAAAGGAGCGCGGCCTCGAGCGCGCAGATCCGTGCTTTA